TATTAAAAAACTAATTAAAAATTAAATTAAAGTTTAAATAAATACCATCTCTTTTTGCCTATTCTTGAATGATTTAGCACCGGAGTTATGACGATTAGGCCCATCACCCTCGATTTTTTGGGACAGACGACTTTGTTTCGCCTTGGAACTCTTGTTCTTGAAATGGTCTGAGTTCTAATGCGAAAGAAGCTGCTGGTACAACTCATTTGTTGCCCATTCCGGTGGCAGTCCATGCAGCTGATGATGACGTTTGGCATTGTTCATCATTTGTTTCAACCGCTGCATATCTAGCTGGTTGAACTCTTTGTAAACTTTATCGGTGTGCTTTTTTTTCCACCGAAAAGATTGCTTTAAAAGAAATTAGAGTTAGTGATTATTTATTTTATTTAAATAAAATTTTAAAAATATAACTTACGATGAACGAATGCCACCAAGAACGTTTGATGTTGTCCGGTACCACCGTCCAACAGTAGTAGAGTTGAGGAAAATTTGACGTTATTATTGCTGTAAATGTTTTTCTCAAATCTTTATCGTTAACCCCGAACCTAATTATAATAACAATTTATTAATATTAACTAATAATATAATTTAAAATAAATATTGAAATAATTTTAATTTATAAATTAATTACCATAACGCCCCGTCTAGTTCGGGATCGATTAGCGGCACCTCGCGAGTGTCGAAGGAATTTAAAATTGGCGGTGCTCCAGAAGAACCCGCTAACAATCCTCCGGAACCAGAAAATCGCCTACGAAACTGTAAAAAAACAATAGTTAGTTATTAATACAAAACATAAATATTAAAGAATTGAACAAGAATTGAAAACCAATTACCATTTTGTGTTTTTTTTTTGTTGATTTTTTTTTTGCTCGTTTTTTTTTGCTCGTTTTTTTTTGTTTGAGATTTGGATGAATGATGGAGAAGAATGAGCCGCTCGCCCTTATATAATCGAAAATTCCAACGGATTTCCAACGGGTATCAGTTGGAAATCTCTGGGCGCATTTAATGTTGTCTGATAAATTCCAACGGATGCCCGTTATAATCTTCATTTCCAACGGGCATCCGTTGGAAATTTCTGGCGCATTTAATGTTGTCTGATAAATTCCAACGGATGCCCGTTACAGAATATTTCCAACGGATACCCGTTGGAAATGACGATTCTAGCGGGTGTCCGTTGGAAAAGGCAAACAGATTCAATGTTTCAACCATTACAAACGGGTGTCCGTTGGAAATTTTCAACGGACACCCGTTGTAATTCTGGTGTCGATTCAATTGCTGCGTTTCGATTCCAACGGATGTCCGTTGGAATATATGTGCATTCGAATTCTGCGATTCGATTCCAACGGATGCCCGTTGGAATTTAAAATTTTTTAAAAAAAAAAATACAAAAAAATATGATAGATTTTTCAAAATACAAATACATATGAAAATAATAAAAACAAATAAGTCTATATAGAATCTTCATCACTTTCATCATCCGGAGTTGTATCATGGTCCGAAACGAATTCGTCTATATCGTCTTGTACGTGTAACGAATCATCAAGTAACTCGTCGTCTATGTCAGGAAGTGCAAGTGTCTCGTCGTAATCATCATCTAGTCGGATGGGAAGAACCGGATCTTCGAGTTGCTCTTGCATTGGTTCATCGAGATCTTGTGTTGTCGACGACGAATCCACGATAATTAATCTTCGTGGGTTAATCTTCAAAACAGCTGACCATTGATCTTCTCGTCACCGTTTCACCGATGTCGCATAATGTTTCTGATATGGAATGAAGCATACCTGGTCTGCCTGATCTGAAAGTATAAAAGGATCGTACTTTGCATATGAACGTTTCGGGTTTATGTCAATACCTCCCCATCGATTTTTCCGTGAGTCGCGTCCCGACGTTGTATCAAACCAATCACATCTGAATATGATTGTTTTCAACCCGACTAATCCTGGATACTGGAGTTGGAAAATCTGACGAAGAACCCCAAAGAAATCAGGATCTTCCGATGACCCGCTTTTTATACAAACTCCGTAATTGAAGGTGGATTTATGTTTCCCATGATCGTAAGTGTGAAACGTGTATCCTCGGGTGAACATTATCGGCCAGCAAATGACTTTTCTTCCAGGTCCATGTGATATATCTCTGATCCATGCCGGAATTCTATCACTGCGTGACTGAATCTGCGCATAAAAATTAATTAAATTAATACACAAATACATACACGTACATATATATATAGCTAGAATACTTACGTAGTCTCGAAGCCAAGATGCATAATGTTGTTCCTTCATTCCTTCAAGTTCCTCCCCACATAGATTAGGATATGTTGCCAAAACATCCTCGTCAAAAAGTCTTACAAAAAAAAGTTATTAGCAAATATGTAATTAATTAATTTCTAATCACATCTAAGATTAAAAAATGTGTACCTTTCGTATGGCTTAAGTTCTTCACAATTCAACAGTATATATGTGGCGATGTGATTGTACTCTTGTACAGTTAACCAATATTCTTTAGATTTGCCTCCGAGGCGTCCAGTAGGCTAAAAACTTTCGGGAATAAGTCCGAAACATGAATCATAGTGGTAGAGATAACTTCTATCGTCTTCGTTGATAGCCCTCCTTGTCTTCGTTTGAATATGAGATTCAAAATAGAAAGAACTGAAGTAGGAGATCTCCTCTTACAAATACTGTTTGACGATAGATCCTTCCACTGCTGCTTTGTTTTTAGCCTTCTTTTTCAGATGGAAAAAAAATCGCTCAAATGGATACATCCATCTAAACTGTACTGGACCACCGTATATCGCCTCATCTGGTAAATGAATAGGTAAATGTTCCATCACATCAAAAAATGAAGGTGGAAATACCTTTTCCAATGCGCAAAGTATCTCAGGAATGTTGCCTTTCAAAACCTCTACATTACTTCTTCTCAGAGATCTTGCACATATATCTCGAAAGAATGTGCTGATACCGCATAACGCTCCGTGGACACTCGGTTTCAATAGCTCCGCAAATGCAATAGGAATAAGTCTTTGCATGAATACATGGCAATCATGACTCTTCATTCCCATAAGTTTTAATGAATCGGTATCAACACATCGCGCCAATTTGGATGCATATCCATCAGGGAATTTAACCTCTTCTTTTAACCATTTAAACAACACCGTTTTACCTGGTTTTGTGAGTCTGAATATCGGCACAGGTGCGTGACCATCACGTGTCAACTCCAACTCTTTTCTCTTGCATATATCTTTCAAGTCCTTCCTCGAGTTGATGTTATCTTTACTTCTCCCTGGCACATTCAGAACGGTGTTGATGATGTTATCAAAAAAGTTTTTCTCTATATGCATAACATCCAGATTGTGTCGAAGCGTTAGCGAACTCCAGTAAGGCAAATCCCAAAAAATACTACGCTTATACCAGTTATGCCAATCACCAAATCCTTTGCACTTCTTATGCCCAAAATTTCCTCCACAATGCACAGAAGCTTCCAAATCATCCAAATATCCACTATAATATGAGATTCAAAATAGAAAGAACTGAAGTAGGAGATCTCCTCTTACAAATACTGTTTGACGATAGATCCTTCCACTGCTGCTTTGTTTTTTGCCTTCTTCTTCAGATGGAAAAAAAATCGCTCAAATGGATACATCCATCTAAACTGTACTGGACCACCGTATATCGCCTCATCTGGTAAATGAATAGGTAAATGTTCCATCACATCAAAAAATGAAGGTGGAAATACCTTTTCCAATGCGCAAAGTATCTCAGGAATGTTGCCTTTCAAAACCTCTACATTACTTCTTCTCAGAGATCTTGCACATATATCTCGAAAGAATGTGCTGATACCGCATAACGCTCCGTGGACACTCGGTTTCAATAGCTCCGCAAATGCAATAGGAATAAGTCTTTGCATGAATACATGGCAATCATGACTCTTCATTCCCATAAGTTTTAATGAATCAGTATCAACACATCGCGCCAATTTGGATGCATATCCATCAGGGAATTTAACCTCTTCTTTTAACCATTTAAACAAGACCGTTTTACCTGGTTTTGTGAGTCTGAATATCGGCACAGGTGCGTGACCATCACGTGTCAACTTCAACTCTTTTCTCTTGCATATATCTTTCAAGTCCTTCCTCGAGTTGATGTTATCTTTACTTCTCCCTGGCACATTCAGAACGGTGTTGATGATGTTATCAAAAAAGTTTTTCTCTATATGCATAACATCCAGATTGTGTCGAAGCGTTAGCGAACTCCAGTAAGGCAAATCCCAAAAAATACTACGCTTATACCAGTTATGCCAATCACCAAATCCTTTGCACTTCTTATGCCCAAAATTTCCTCCACAATGCACAGAAGCTTCCAAATCATCCAAATATCCACTATTTATTCGCTCAGAATAAATTTGCTCTCCGGTTTGCATAACAGGACCTTCCTCAGTAACGATTTTACCTTTGGTAAAAAGCGTACGATTTTGTCTTAACGGATGATTCCTTGGAAGAAATCTGCGATGACAGTCAAACCAGCACGTCTTTCTCCCATGTCTCAACTGAAACGCTTCTGTTTTCTCCATGCAAAACGGACATGCAAGTCTTCCATGTGTGCTCCATCCCGATAGCATGCCATACGCCGGAAAATCACTGATCGTCCAAAGAAGAACCACTCTCAGTGTAACATTTTGTTTCACACTTACGTCGTAAGCAGGGACTCCAATGTCCCACAAATCCTTCAACTCCTTAATGAGCGGCTGTAAATACACATCAAAACTCTTCTTCGGATGTTCTGGCCCAGGAATCAACAATGTCAAAAACATAAATTCTCTTTTCATGCACATCTCAGGTGGTAAGTTGTACGGAGAAAGTATAACTGGCCATAATGAATACTGCATGCCAGATTGTCCGTACGGACTAAATCCATCAGTACACAAACATAGATACACATTCCTAGGCTCAGCAGCGAATTGAGGAAATACCATGTTGAAGTTTTTCCACGCCAAAGCATCTGATGGATGTTGCATTTCTCCATCAACGGTAGAATGCGAGGCATGCCATCTCATATGCGAAGCCGTTTGTTGTGATTCATACAAACGCTTCAATCTGTACGATACTGGCATATAGAACATCTTTTTATACGGAGTTTGTCTCTGTACATTCTTACTCGGACGGTATCTGTTAGTCCCACAGAATTTACACCTAACCAATTCTTTTTCTTCACCCCAGTACAGCATGCAACCATTTTTGCAAACATCAATCTTTTCATAAGGCATTCCCAAATTCTTCAACATAGCCTTCGTATCATAATACGATTCTGGAGCTTCGTTATTTTCAGGTAAATATTCACGCAACGTTTGACAAAATGAATCCATGCAATTTTCGGTGACATTGTAATCCGTTTTCATACTCATCAATCTTGATGCAAGAGATAAACGTGACTGACCTTCTTTACATCCTTCATAGATAGGATGATTTGCCATATCCAACATGTCGAAAAACCGTTTTGTTTCGACGTTTGGCTCCTCCTGATCTTGTGATAAGTTTTGCTCAGCCAATGGCGCCCCAGGAAAAGCATCTGTCACCATTTCAACATAAGGATTTCTTACATCTTCATCTACATCATACCTCTGCTCGGCCGAGACATGTTGTCCCGTTGTGATTGTCCGAACTTCTTCTCCATGAAATCGCCAAATATAATAATCTTCGACAAATCCCCTTCGAAATAGATGTTTACAAACATCTTCTGTACTGCGATATTTAAAATTGCGACAACTTGTACATGGACATAGCATTTTTCCACGTTCTTGACACAACGGCTGCATAGAAGCAAAATTCATAAACTGTTCCAAACCGTTAATGAATTCTTGCGTTACCTCTTTTGTAATCGAATCAACTCTTTCGTATATCCACTGTCGGGACGAACGAATATTCGGATTTGTTGAAGATGTCATTTTTAGGAGAATTTTTGGTAAAAGAATAGTATAAGAGTGATTTAGAGAGTGGTTTGGACGAATTATGGCCGAGTGCTTTAAATAGAGAAACTTTCCAACGGATATCCGTTGGAAATCCGTTGAGGTGCTTTAAATAGAGAAACTTTCCAACGGATATCCGTTGGAAATCCGTTGAAAAGTTCGTTACCGTTACACTTTCCAACGGATATTCGTTGGAATATTTCGAACGTTATAACGTTCGACAATTTCCAACGGATATCCGTCGGAATTATTACCGCGTTTCATAACGTTCAAATAATTTCAACGGATTGCCGTTGAAATTCGTCAAACGTTATTTCCAACGGAAATCCGTTGGAATATACGTGGAAAATTTCCAACTCAAATATCCGTTGATATGCCGTTGGAAATTTCCAACGGATTTCTAACGGATGAATCCGTTAGACGTCCGTTGGAAATCCGTTAGAAATGCGTTGGAATTATTCCAACGGTATACCGTTGGAAATCCGTTGGAATTTCGCAGTTTTTTTGTAGTGTTAGAGGCATTAGTCCATCCCTTTGCATGCACCGCATTCATCTAGAAGATAGTTCCAAAACCTCCATTGAGCATCAACGTAGGTTGAATCCCACCATGAAGGAGGTAGTGAAGAAGGAAGTGCTCAAATTGTTAGATGCGGGTATCATTTACCCGATTTCAGATAGTGCATGGGTTAGTCCCGTGCAAGTTGTACCAAAGAAGGGGGGTATCACTGTGGTAGAAAATGAACATAACGAATTGATACCCACTAGGACGGTTACGGGTTGGAGAATGTGTATTGATTATAGGAAGCTGAATTCCAACACCCGTAAAGACCATTTCCCGTTACCCTTCATCGACCAAATGCTAGAGAGGTTAGCCTTGCATTCCCACTTTTGCTTTCTTGATGGCTACTCGGGATTCTTCCAAATCCCCATTCACCCTAGCGACCAGGAGAAAACCACCTTTACATGTCCATATGGCACCTTTGCATACCGTAGGATGCCTTTTGGTTTATGTAATGCACCGGCAACATTTCAGAGATGCATGACTGCTGTGTTTTCTGATCTCATCGAGGATGTTATGGAGGTGTTCATGGATGATTTTTCTGTCCATGGGCCCTCCTTTCCCGTGTGTCTAATCAATTTCCGCTGAGTGTTGGACAGGTGTGTTGAGGCAAATCTTGTGCTGAATTGGGAGAAGTGCCACTTCATGGTCCAAGAGCGCATTGTGCTAGGCCACAAGATTTCAAGAAGAGCGATTGAGGTTGACCGAGCTAAGGTCAAAGTAATAGAGAAGTTGCCGCCTCCACGAAATGTTAAGGGAATCCGGAGTTTTCTGGGACATCCCGGGTTCTACAGGAGGTTCATCAAGGACTTCTCAAAGATTTCGAGGCCTTTGACCGAATTGCTTGCAAAGGATGTGCCATTTGAGTTCACCCATGAGTGCGGAGCTGCCTTTGAGACTTTGAAGAAGGCGTTGATTTCCCCGCCTATTATTCAGCCGCCGGATTGGGAAGCTCCCTTTGAGCTTATGTGCGATGCGAGCGATTTCGCCGTCGGGGCTGTCTTGGGCCAAAGGAAAGACAGAAAGCTGCACGCCATTTATTATGCGAGTCG